TAGGAGAAAGATTTAATCTTTTTTTAAATGGATATCATACATACCATTTTCAAAGTTCTGGCTTAATTTTGTGTTTAGTATGCCTCTGCTGGAATACTTCAAATTGAAGTATGTTTTCATTGCTCTTTGAAAAAATAATTCTCCATAGTTTAACTTTGTTAAATTTCAGCTTCTGGCACAGAAAACAGGCACTAAGGAGGAGTGGGTTTTGGACTGAAAATTTATATATGGAAAAGCAGAATGCCAGTAAATCATAGTGTTAAATATAATGGGTGTATTTGACAATAAAATTAAGATCCGAATATGATAAACTATATGCCTGCATCAGATTTTTTTTTTAAAAACATTTTGCAACTTATCCATAAATTCAGTCTTAGTTGAATCCACACAGCAGACTCAAGAGCAGCTTCAACAGCATAACGCTTACCTATTTTTAATGAGATAGTAAGTAAAGTGGCCTGAAATTTATGCCTGAACTGGTAGGCGAACGTAAAGAAAGGCTTAAGGCACACTGTTACACTACTTTCACATTATAACATAGAGCACAGCATAAATATGTGAATAGTGCCCTTCACCTGGGGGGAACACTACACCTGACATATAATTTTATTTTATATAGGCCTCCTGGAGTAATTATTCTAAGGTACCCATCTAGACATATAAAAAGGATTCAACTACTCCATACAATCAACTGCAATTTGCTTTGCTAGGTACATTAAATATCACATTAGATTCAGCCAGGTGATTCCGACTTAATCACAATCAGACAATGCTTTGAAAGTTATCTTTTCTTTTTCTTGAAAGAAAGGAATCGGGTTAGGTCAGTTCCCCAAAAAGAGAATTTGAACCAACTTAATTTTAAAGGTATCAAACACTACACTGGTCTTTAAGAAAGAGTTGCCTGCAATCAGCAGAAAGTAATCACGATTTAAGCAACATTTGTGCATCACTGATCCAGCTAAAATGCAATCTGCAATAACTGTTTTACCCTAATTCCCTGTATAACACTGGATGACCAAGCAGATCACATTTATCAGTGCAATATTTCCAGCAGCACCGAAGGAAACAATCAAAACTTGTAATTCCAGTAAGTTTCTTCTATAGTATAGCAAGCATGAAGATACCATTTCCTCAGCAATTAAACAGATCTCTACTTATTTTGTTATGACATTTCTGTATTCATAAAAGTTTCAGCTATGCAAAAACTTTTTTTTAAAATGCTCTTCCTGTGAAGAAAGCCTAGTGAAAAGTTATCTTTATTTAGCACAGACAAAGAAGGTATATGAGTTTCCATACCTGACTTCCCTCTAACTTTTTCTGCACGTTTATAGTGCTTTATAAGCCTTCTAACCATAAATTAAAATCTCTCGCCAAAGCCAATGACTTGCCCTTTGGAAAATACAAAGCTGAATGCAGATGAAATATCTGCATTTCATTTACCTACTCATTTGGTGACCTTTAGATCCCGTTCCAGATCTAACATTAGTTGCCTTTGATACCTGCTCACACGCAGGCCGTATTGCACTACTGTGCCCATATTCATTTATTTAGTTAGCTGCCTCCGCACAGAGCAGCAACTTGCACAGCCAGTTACAGGCTCTCTTCTCAGCTAAAGTTATGTGAACGGTGATTAAATTAAATGAAGCTATGGGGAGGGATTCAAGGGTTCAAGATCATAACAATTTTTAATATGTTAAAATTTTAAATTTAAAGTATTTTCTTAATGCTTAACATTTTTACTACCTGCAATATTCTCTTTATTATTAGTATAAAATTCTCAAACCCTGTTCAAGCTCAACTTCAATTTAAACCATTCCATTCAGGACTGTAATCACAAGTGTAATTCTCTTGATATATTCACTACCAAAAAAGTGTATATATTGTATGTGTATACGTATATATATACACACACATGCACACATATATATGTGCATCTATATTTTAATTTTACATTACTTTATTCCAAGCTTAACCCACTGACACCCCTGAAGAGGAAGTCCACATCTTGTATCTGAAGCCTCTGACAGTCCAGATAGCAAATGAATTGTCACTGCTTCTTTGCACAACTGAAGTGTCACGCTGAAGGGCTCCAGAATGACTCTTTACTGGATGATCGCAGCTACCGTGGTGGCTGCCAATAGATGTCTTTGGAGTGGGAAAGCGTAGGCCATATTATATGAAAAGGAAGGTGATTAATAAAGACATTAAGCGCTTATCTTCAATACTGCTATTTCACGGAGATATATTACTCATTTTTTGTGATGCGAGGGGGATAGGAGAAAGCAAAGGAAGGGCAGATAAGAGTGACTGCCTAAACACTGAGTCAACAGGAGACTCATGATTAAAAAACTTCACTTTCCTAACTTCCAACTTCATGCTTTAATACTGAGAGGCAACTACAGACTAACTTCATTCCTTTTGGAATTATTAAGAGTAAAGAAATCCCTATTTGTAACCAGGAAGAGTATCAGACACTTTCCCTCGGGGTCAAAGAACAAAATCTCCAACATGCCAATCTTCTTATAGACTTACAGAGTCAGTATTAAGCATTTCTGAGAACTTGGTTTCTTGCCCGTTCTTCAGAACGGGGACTAGACTAAGACTGTGGTTATTGCCCATAACAGCATCTAGCAGGGAGCCAAATGCTTTAAAGCAAAACAATTCATATATGCTGGCTTTTGCGGACTTGAAACTGTACAAATAGATGATTTGAGGATAAAAGTAACTGCAACTTTATCTTACATATAGACTGCTAAACAGTATCTCTTACCTGAAGCACACAACTGCTTTCTTTTGAAGATGCATACCAGTTTGATCTCTTTCATAATTTACACACAGTAACCTTAAAAAATTGAATCTACTGCAAATGTAAATATTGGTTTCTGGTTTACTCTCAGAAGATATCTTTTCTAAACTCTGAACGCATATATAAGAACTTACAGCTATGGATTGCTACACGAAGCACTTAGTCTAACGCTCAAATAAACAAACAAAAAACTCCCCTTCCTAAAGCCCTAAAACCAGGGCACTGTTACCAACCACAAGAGATGATTCCAGTACAACTACCACTAGAAAAATTTTGTAAAAGTTTTTCTAGTAAATACATATTGCAATAACTCAAATAACTTTCTTCCCTGGAGTGCCACAGTATAAGATTTCAAAGCTCCTCTGTATATCATTTGAGCTAGCTGGGAACTGCTATCAAAATTCCAGCCGATTCTTTCCCCACATCCTTTCTCCTATATTGTCTTATTAAAGAGATTATTTATGAAAACAATGGAAGACAGCGTTTGGAGATTAATAATAAGGGCATCAGTCTGTTCATAGCTGTTGTAAACCATATATGAATATTAACTTTGCTCAGAAGCACAAAGCTGAAGTATTTTTCTCAGCATTAGACATCCCTCCTTTGCCACTTCTCCCTCCTTTACACGTACAGAAATATAAACCGTCAGCACAAAATTGGTGCCAAGAGCCAAGATTATAATATTGGCCACAAACTTAATCTACAAAAAGTTTTCTGTAGATCTAGCAGAATTTACTTACTACTTCAATGAAATCCTAACTCCAAACCATTAAAATAGGGAATCTACATCTAAAAATAAGTTAGAATACCAGCTTTTGACTTTCTGAATTAGTCTTTAGATATTGGGGAAAATCTCGGAAGCAATCTAACCCTTCAGGTTTAGAGATAAGTTTTCAAGGCCGAAATATTGCAAAAGTCTGGATATTATATCTTCTACTAATAACCCAGACTGTGCCGTCATATAGCATGAAGCTCTTAAAAAGGAAAGCGGGAAGAAGTACGTTTGAATAAGAAGGGGCAAAGGAAATTGTAAAAAGCCAATTAGTTGCTTGTATTTATTATTACAGACTTCCTCATTTCAAAAATTCACTTTGCATTTCAGACATATGCAGAAACAGCAACACAAGTCAGGAAGACAAAAAAAAAAAATCAAATTCAAAATGCTTTTTTGTGTCAGCTACTGCCAGATCTCAGCTGATTCGTTCCTCTACCTCCCCTCAATAAATGTCACTTTCTTTGTGGAATATCCAGAGCACCTACCACATTTTGAAACAAACAAAAAAACAAAAAAACCTACAACACACACAACACAGGGCTGCAGGCAAGCACATACCAAGCACCCTATTCTTCTCTGTCATTCAAAGATAATCCTAGTTGGATGATACGTTATTGGGCCAGCTTAATATGCTTGAATTAGCAAACTCCCGCTAACTGCTAATCAACAAGTCCTAAATGCTTTAAGTAATACTAGAATTATGAAGCACTTTATTATAGCATTGCATGTGCAATGAAAGAGTAAAAGAAAACTTTCAGTACGTCTAGTATACCAGAAAGCGATAACCAAACTAAATACAACATCAGTAGCCTACATACTTTCAGCTGTTTAAACGTCAGAAGTAATGACAAGGTCAAATCTCTCTCTCATATCAGAGGTATCAACAAAATCAAATCAAAGCTACACAGCCTATGAATCCCCAACAAACTGCATGAATAAAAAAAATGCCCATTTTGTTGTCTGGTGAGGAGAGAGGTGAGATAACGTGGGAGAACATAAAGCAGCAAAAGCTCTTTTTTGCCCTAGTCACAGGGCCAGGCAAAACAGCCACCAACTGCAGACTGGCATGGCACTAACAAGAAAAAGATCCTAAAAAAACACACCCGCCCTCCCCCCCCGCCTTGTGCTAAGATCATTACTAAAACTAGATTTTACAGTCCTTTTTTTTTGTTTAAATGAATGCTTCATGCAGGTATTTAAACAAAATAAATTTGAATGAGATATAGTTAACATTAGCACCTTTGCTGAGTAGGACAGCAAGAGATTCCCGGTACTACCATCCCCTCACTTTCCCAATAACCTTCTAGTGCATTTAAATAGCCTCAAGGGGCAAAGAGGAAACATTTTTTCTGGGAACAAACTCAAAGAAGGCGTTAAGAGGACATTGTGTCCTGTGATTAACTTTTCTTACATACATACTTGTCACTTCTTGTAAGAAATCCAGACAGGGTCGGCTACTTCCAGAAATACTTATTGAAACAGCCAGTGGGGTCTGTCCTTCATAGTTCCTTGTGTTAGTGTCTGCTCCATAATTATACAACATTTGTGCACAAAGCACATCATCTCTAAGAGCAGACAAGTGTAAGGGTGTCTGTCCATCTTCCAAGCGACCCAAGTTTGTATCCGCCCCTCTCTGAAGGAACATTCGGCAGTAAGAGTGATTGCTTTTGATCACAGCGTATCGTAACAGGAAACCATTTTGAATGTCGATGTTGGCATTGTGATCCAGAAGGATTTTCACACAGCTTGACCTCTCTCGGATAATGGCCAGCTGAAGCGGTGTAGTACCTTTATCACTGAGCGGATCAACCTCAGCCTTGAACTCCAACAGGAGTCTGACAAATGAGTCTCTGCCGTAGTGGGCTGCTACATGGAGGGGAGTCCAACCATCATTGCTTTTTGCATTAATAATGTCACTTCTGTATTCAGACTCCAACATCAAGCGTGCAATCCTCGCTCGGCCATGCATGGCTGCATAATGCAGAGCAGTGAAGCCTCCAATTAAGTCCTTAACAGTGGGATCAGCTAAAGTTAAAATGAAATTAAAAAAAAAAAAAAATTAGAAGGCATTACAGTAATCTGGTTCTGCAAAGAAAATAATCAAATGGTTGAATGTTATTTTCAGGTATAACATTACACAGGTTTTTTTAAATACTTTAAACAAATTCCTGCTTTCACAAACCAAATGCTACTTTTAAGGAAAGTTAATTTACATTTAAGAAAATTACACCAAAAAAGGTTGGTTGGTTTGTTTTTTTTTTTAATGCCTGTTTGCATTTGACTAATAGTTTCCCACATCTTCTTAGCCCTCTTGGGCTAACTACTCAAACTTCTCTGTCTATCCAGTTTTCCTCCAGCTCTACAATATTACAGTTCTTTCTCAGTTTTTGTTTTATTTTCCCTTGTGCTGCTTCTTGGTCTTAAAAAGAAGCATGTGTAGCAACATCTGCTGTCCCAAATTGCGGATGTTTTGTGGTCTGGCAGGATTGTATTGTTTTCAGGGTGTAATACTGTATTAGGTAAAACGTTTCTCCGTGGTCTGCAGGATTTCCAAAGCATGTAGGATATATGTTATTTTAGATTATCTTGATAAAGTCTGTTTTTATAGATGACAAATCTGTTCTGAATTTATAGTTTTATAAAAATTTAAGATTTTACAAGAATGTAAGCATCCCGTTATGGAAAGAGTCAGGGGACGTTAGTACAGAATACAAGCGATTAGACAGTACACAAACTCAGTCTGCTTTGTGAATTTAAAAAATAAGACAACAAAGCCAATTTACTTAAGTCAATCTGCTCTGCACACCCAGATTTCTAAAGCAAGTGACTGTTTACATTTGCCACATTAACTACCAAAGGAAAGGTGCCTGCCTCATTACCATTTCTCAGCTATAGAGTAAGCCAGGCCAAAAAGTTTTTCCTTGTACCGTGTGCAGATGTCGCCTGTGGGATGGTAAGAGTTGAGCTTACTACAGCTTGGAGGTTTGAGGCACTTTCCTAACTTAAGGCTACTTGCTGGAAAAGAGAGATATTACCTGCACCAAGGGACTAGCCTGAAGCTGACACATGTTCAATATGCCAGGATACCTACTGAAAAAACTGGTGAGGTCTGTCCTTCGTAATCCCTTGTGTAAGTATCTGTTGTGTAATTATACAACATTTGTACACAAAGCACATCACGTCTAAGAGCAGACAAGTGTAACAGTATCTGTCCATCCTTCATAACCTTGACAGCCCTGTCCTTGCCTTCTGGCATTGAATTCTTTGTAGTTTCCTCATCTATACATACTGCGTTTTTAAAAAAAAGTAGGACCAGTCAGGGTGGGGGGGAGGACATTGAGACGACTCCGGTTTAAAACAAACTTGGTTGAAGGTTATAAACATCCAATGATCACATATATCACTTGAGAGGAACACTCGGTCTGCTCTACCATATAGAAAGGGCACAATTATTTCCAAAAAGTGCGGGGGGAGACCAATTTCCATCTTAAAATTCTGGCCTACTGTGAGCTAAGTTCACAGCATAATATTAATTGCAAGCTAGTTTAGTCTAAAGGTCTGAATATGTAAAGATTTTACTGCAGAACAGTAAGAAAGACCTTCCCAATATGGATCTACTGTGACCTTATCTGGAAAATGCACTGAGATAGAGACCTTACCAAAATAAAAGGACAGGCAAGAAGGAATTCTGAGTACACCTGCAAAAGTCATTCAGCCTACGTTAAGGATTTTTTAAATTTTTAAATAGGGACTAGGGGGAAAAAAAAAAGACAATCTGGCTATGCAATTAAACAGCATTCAGAGATACAAAACTGGAGAACTGCCTCTACTAAATAGAGTAGGTACCTCTAAGTAATGAGAGAAAAATTACGGAAAGTTTAGACCCCTAGTGGTGACAGCCTTCCTAGTTTTCTATGAAAGGCAGCAGAAGTTTCAGCACTTTGCAAAGTTACACCTAACCCGAGTGAAAATAATTGCTGAAGCATCTACAGGTTGGTGGGAAGATGAAGTCAGCGACTGAAAAGCTGGTTCCTGGGCTGCACTATGATGAGGTCCAAAACACAGCAGAGAATCAGTACAACCCACAAAGTCACTGAAGACTAAGGGGAGTATTTCAAAGTGATGTTAGCTGCTCCCAGGGTCTGTTTCTTCCCACTGCTCAGACTACTCTAGATTGTTTCCTGATTGGTGATAAATACCTTAAGTGAGAAGCACAAACATGAAAATTAAGATGCAGAGGGGTGACAGATACATTCTGACAGCTAGAATTAGGGAGGAAGATGGACATAATGGAAAGGAGACAGCAGTGAGGGCCATTTTCCACCCCCCCCAAAATTTAAGTTTTGACAACCACTGTTTCGCGCTGTGCCTCTTCTCTTCTGTGCTGCACAAGGCACGCATGCCAACTATTTCTACCCTCCAACTGAGGTGCAGGCCACTGCTGCTATCTTGTTTAGTCTATGCCATTTCCAAATTCAATTAGATACGGTCAAAATTCTGCATGCATGTATTTTTGATTCCAATATTTGAATTTTAGCTCACAAAACAAAGATGCCCTTTCCCTAAAGTTTAAAGTACCTTTCCACAAAATTGGATCGTTTTTGATGACAAAGGTTAACTAAAAAACAAAAAAAAAAAAAAAAAACAAAAACACACAAATCACATAAGTGATAAAGGTCTCAAGAAGAACAGGAAAAAAAAAAATTCTTCCATTGGGGAAAAAAAGCAACAAAAATAATAAAACTTCCAAAAGCAAGTCTGGAAACAAAACCTCATGATAGAAATACTGCAATTCCTGTTAAGATTACGGGCTTCTAGTGAGTTAACGGTGCCAGTCACCTCCTGGATTGGAGGAGTAATTTAAACAAGACCAAAACACTGCCTGTTACTATTCGGTAAGTGTTTTGCTGCCATCTCCTGGACAAACTATTTTAATTGCACAGGCACTTTTAGCAAAAGTTGGACCTGCATCATGTTGCATAAAATTTCCACCTCTTCAGTCCCTGTGATATTAGTGAAAGTATGCTACAAAGCTGATACTGCCTTAAAAACTTGGGATTTTTCTTGATTTCAGCATTTGCTTCATATCATGAAATAACTCTCTACTCTTGGAACACAAGTAAACCGGGAAAGAATTTTTTTGCTTACCTTCCAGAATCTGCAGAGAGGGAAGAAAAAGCAGCTATTATTAGTATATTTAACCAGGAAGGTATGAAGCCAGCACTTGTCAGCATTAATCTTGCTTTCAGCCTGACTGTCAAACATTTATAATTATTTCTTCTCAAACTTCCCATTAATTTGGGGATAACAAAATCTAGAAATACGAACAACTGCATTTGGTCACTCCAAACATTCTTAAGCATTAGTTACAGTAAAGTGACATAAACCTTAGACTGCTGCATTCGTTATCAAGGGCACCAAATAACTGCAGCTGATCTCAAACGAGACAGAGAATTTGCAGCTTTGAAAGATATGCAGACTATCTCACTTCATGTTACAGTTAGGTCCCTAAGCTCGTCATTTAAACTCAGCTGTTAATGAGAACGAGACTCTAATTCTCTAATCTAGAGGATATATATACATTCTTAGATTTCAGCCTGAAATTTTAGTGTTTTAATTTACTCTTCAGTGGGACAGGCTTTCCCTTCTTCCACGCTACCTTTGTTAGGTCATTTCATCATAGTCTAATTTGGGAAGCCAAGAAAGGCAACGCTTCTAGCTCTATAAAGCACATCTATTATGTCAAGCTTACTCCCCCACTAGGGTTTAATTATGACCTCAAGGTTTAGAAACATGGCTACATATAGCTTCTTGTTTTGAGTTTTCTAGGACAAAATGGATACAGAAGACCTCCAGGAAAGCATTACTGCTCAGGCACAAAAACATTTCATGAGCTGGTTTAGGGGGAGAAGCATTTCCCCTTCTCCAGTTTCTCCTGGATTCTGCACGATCACACTAAAATTCAGATACCTTGCAGTCAGGACTAAAAATAAATGCAAACCTCTATTTAGATACTTCCTTCTCTTACTCTTTCTTCAATTTCTAGGAGCTTTCATGAATTGTTCCTTCATTTTAATAGAAGTAACTGGAAATTATTCTGCTTAGTGTTAAGATGATTTCACTAATAGACAGGTAACAGCTACACACTTTGAAGCTTCTAGTTGGTCCTAACCTTAACAGCGATGGCAGGGGCGTGGATTAATAAAGGGTAGTTTTTGTCCAGCTTCAGCTGTCTAGCTCAACATATGATTTTAAAAGCAAAAAGTACATTAGAAAAAAAAAAAAAAACTTCTTAGGCCAGAATTCTAGATTTCTCAAAACTATGCCCCTATTTTTGCACTGTTCTCCTAAATTTGAGCTTTGTGACACTACATATTCTTATGGAGGGGAAGAGCTAATTTCACAGAATCTTCACTTTATTAAAATGAAACATATTCAAAGAAGAGTCTAATTTACCCTTTCCTATGAAAATTAACTTTCTCTACGACTCTGTTCAAGTTTCTGCATTTCATCACTTGCTAAAGAATATTTACCTGACCTATTATTTCTATATCCGATGGTTGTTTCTGCTGGCTTCATCCTTAAATTTGGACTAGCTATATTATGCATTCTCCCCATCTGTGTCTCCCTCTTGTTTAACAGATAATAAAAAGCTTGTTCCTATTCTAGCTTCTCCATTCAGTCCATGCAGCCTACATGCACAAGCCTGTCCCATGGCTCTTCCTTCGCTGGTGAGCAATGATGGAAGAGAAGAGTGAAAGAAAAACCAGGAGGCAGCCAGGCCATAACTCCCCATAGAAAGCTACCTTTTATTTCCAGGTCAATGATCAGATCCCTTCTCAGCCTACGTTAGCGAAACTCCATCTCAACCCCACTATCATTCAAGACTCTTTATGTCAATAGTGTTCGGTGTCCCAGATCTTAGGCACAGCACTTTCCCCTCAGCAACAACCCAGCATGGTTTTCTCACTCCTGCACTATGAAAATATTTCCAGCTCTGCTAAACTTCATCACCGCTGTAGTTAGACAGCTATCAGCGGAGTCCCCATCCTTCCCACTAACACCTCAGTTCCCTCTTCTTCAGTACTTCAACCACTCTCCCTTACTATCTCTTTTATTATAAATACATACAGTCAGTTCAATACTGTTTATCATAAGATTCACACCAAAAATGACTTCTTCTTTCGCCACAATATCATTTTAGCCTGCACGGATTAGCCCCCAATATAAAACTAAACCACTTCCTGAGTGGGAGGAAGGTGAAAAATTGTGTGAAGAAAGGTAGACACAGACCTCTCAGTAATGAGGCAGGCATAATTAAGTTTGCTTTTAACCATCAGCTCATTCACTGCTTAACAGTCTCATTTGTGACATTATTATTCTTTTTACATACTCATTATCTTTTACACCTCTGTTTTGCAGGAAAACAAGGCAAGGCACAAAACAGTGCCAACTTTCTGAAGCAAGGCTCAGCTAAAGAAAAGCTGCTGTAGATGACTAACCCTCACACTATTTGTTACTCAACTTTCTAGTCCTGGTGATTAAATTCCATGTTGCTTCCCGAACAAGGATGTTTCACTACAAGCAATTCTCACCAAGCAGCAGATTGAGCCGATATTTCATTTAGGAAAGAAAGTAACAACAACAAAAATAGAAACAAAGCAAAACAGTAAGCCAGCAGCTATCTAATATCAAAACCTATATGTGAGATATACTTTTTTTTTTTTTGAGATCATCTTCAAGTTTACAGAGTTAAAAACAACTTATTTCCAGATTTAGATCCTAAAAATGTAAAATCATGAAACTGAAGACTTGGGATTTCCTTCATATATGACATTTTAAAAGTAGAATTTAAAGTTATTTATGTGTGCAGTCTAGTAGCTTCTCCTCCCTCCCCCCCAAAATGACATGGGGGATTGCCAATTTAATATGGTTAGAAAACTGTTGTAGGCATATGAACAGAGCCCAGTTGTTCAGGCAGTATTTCACTATTACTCTGAAGTAACATACTACCAATGGTACAAATATAACAGCCTACCAGCGCCAGCCAGCGTTACGAATGATCTATACATCTAACAAACAATGCAATACAAATGAGGGGCCTGTATAGCCTCAGGTGTAAATAAAACATAAAAACTCAAATGAGTTTGCTCGGGACTGAAAACATCTTACTTCATAATTTATTAACTTAGCTGACAGGAGCAGTGCTAGAGTAGAAAATGTTGTTCTCTTAAGAACTCTACTCGGAATGCAGAGAACCTTTCTCAATTCTTGTTTTCCACTCCTAGAGTCAAATGAAAAGTTTAAGACTACCAATTTCCAAAACTTAGGTGGTCTTGTAAAAAGATATGGCAAAAAGCAATTTTCACTCCGGCATCTGAGAGGGAACAAACATCAGCCAAAGGACCATAACACTTAAACTGACAAAATTCAATCAGCTGTTCAAACAAAGCTTCACTGTTCCTGATGCATGTAGGAGAGGCACAACTGCACTAGCTGACACTAAAATCCAAACACAAAGAATACCATCTTCAAAGCTTAGCAGACTGTGTTAAAGCCTACATGGAAGCTTAGTCTTTAATCTGACTTGTTAACTTGCTTGAGAATTATGAAACTATCTTCCCTAGGATTTCAACTCAAGGGCTTGCCTTCTAATAATCCCCCTAATATTGCAGGGAGGCCTATGATGAGTGCTGTGAGTGCATCTAAGAGCATCATGAGCTCTTCTGCCCTACTTTTATTCTGAAAAAAAATTAAGGTATTAAGATACAAAGCTAATCTATTACCTCATTCACAGAGCATGCATCAAATGGCAACAGTAATGAAGCACCACTCCAAAGAAAAGAGGAGGGGAAGAAAAAATAAATAAATAAAAAACAAAATCAGAAGCAGTCTCACTTAAGTGGTGCTGAAAAGGCATACAACAGAAACTGAGATAGAAAGCTGCGAGACAGGTTTCAAGATCAGCTTACCTCCATGCGCAAGAAAAACACGGACACATCGCTCTTGCCCTCTTGCTGCAGAGAAATGAAGCAAGGTCCAACCATTGGCATCTCGACCATTTGGAGAATATCCTTGCTCCAGCATCTTGCGCACGGTGTGAACATCGCCAGCAGCAACTGCAGCCTGAATCTGCAACTCTTCCTGTAGTTCAGGGTTTCTCCGACAGTGATGGTGTAACATCCTAGCTGAATCTGGCTTTTACAGAAGCGTCATGAGGTCACACTAGTCACCTTGAATCAATACAAAACATGAATAAATTAGGACAGGGACAAGAAAAAGAGGTATCTAGGAAAAGAGTCAGTAAGTTTTACTCCCCACACACAGAACAAAGCCATCTTATGTATAGGACAAGAACTACGGACTATCTCACTACTGCTAGCAGAAGCACAGCACATGGTTCAAATCACTCAACTGTAACAAAATGGGACACTTACACGTTATAAATACTAAACATTTTCTTCTGAAATGATAGCATCAACAAACAGTCCACCATTAAAGCAACCTGAGTAATAAGCAAAATAAAAAAACCCCTACAACCCAACTTTCCTTTAAGATCACAGCACGGTTATTATCACTAACTCCAGAGATATTTGCTACATAGATTATCTAAACTGTTGCATGAAACAGTGCTGGCTTGCTAGAGCAACTGGGTGACAATACTCTTTTCTAGAGACTTTTTTTTTTTTTTTTTTTTAGAAATGTAAACTAAAATGAAAATATTTTCATCTGACTAATATAACTTTTTCTTGTGACACACTGCACAGGAATATAAGTAACATTAAAATAAAGTTCTCAATTTGAATGTTAAGCTACAGTCTATTGCCCGTATTTTGGCTTGTGGAATTCTTTACTAGTATATAAACACTGTAAAGGACCTTTATAATCCAAGGATCAGACACAAAGATGATCATACATGAAACCTGAGAACATGCAGGTGCAGTTGATGTAGCCCTCAAACACTACGAGCACATACATCAGAACAATTCAATTTATAATTACCTTGATATGGTATATGAGAGAGCTAGGCCAAAAGGCTATCTAAAATAGCCATCGTAAAAGAGCCTAGACACCACCATACATTGGGAAAGAAATAAGTATTATACTCCATGCTCTGACTGAAAAGTATTCATCTTCAGTTCTACTTGCTACCCAGCTGCAGACAAGAAAAAAAAAAATACAGATATTTAGGGACTCTTTCACAGTACACAAAGTCTGCTAAATGTCTGCATTTGCACATACATTATGAATTACATCCCATTAACAGGTATTCCTAGAATGGAAAAGGGTATCAGAAGAACGTGAGCAAATATGAGCTATTAGAAAGGGAACGCTGAGCAGCAGAAGTCTCGGACAATATTCAGAAACTATTGCAATGGGTATTAACACGCAACTTGAAGATAAAAAGAGAAAAAAATCTTTTCTAAAAAGACTCCTATACAGTTAGTTAAGTTACTCTTACTGGTACAAGGAAACATTCTAAAGACAAAAAAGGAATTTTTAAGCTATCCTTAAAATTTACAGCAACCGTATTTTATTAGGATGTCAACTCATACCATCACCTAACCCTTCATTTACATAAATATAAGGATTTCCAGATGCTCGCGATTCATAGGTCATTCAAAAGACACTGCAATCAACTCCCCATAACCCAGTGGGCACTTGTTTTCCTCTGATCCAGATATACATGCAGACAAGAGAAAAGTGAAAGCATCAATCACTCGTCCTTCCCGATAAAAGCTTGGATACGTAGTCACTCTTACAACCTGGCTGGGCCCATGGCAAAGTTATCTCTGCAAGCAGCATGTAAATATAAACTCAGAAGTAACAGGTAGCCACAATGACCCTACTTGCACAGTGAATATGGAAATTACATAGAGAAAATGCCTATTTTTGACATTTATAAATGCTTCAAGATACCATGTATGGCAACAGTCATCATTTCAGCATATGGTTATGAAACATTTTCTAGCTCAATAGGTTATACATAGCTTAGGAACTGGCTTTGTTTTGTTTTATAATATGGATTCCATTATCTGGCACTGGAAGAAAAGAGGCTTTGCAAAGCCAGCACCTGTTTACTCCATAGTTCAGCTTTTGCACCATATCCAAAAATCAAACTTGATTAATCAGATGACAATGGAAGTATTTCTATTGACTCTAATAAGCTTTTGCTAAGCTCGTTCCTAACTTAAATTAGCACTTCAGAACATGCTCAACTGTGAGACAGTGAGCTGTATTTCATTTGGATCACGCTGGTAACGGTACCGTTATTGACATTCCAACTATATGGTCAAGATCTTCCTTTGGATTTACAGGTGAAGACTGATAGTAAAGCCTGCCTAATAATAAGCACAGGCCATGAGAAGATCCCTCAAAAAAACAGAACACGCCTCTTTGGCCTCACTTTCTGAACGCGTAGAAAAACAAAATATGAAAACTCTTCCCTTAAACTGAGACCATCTGAGAAAAAGGAAATATTCCTTGTAAAGGAATAATACTTGTAGGATCTCATACTACCTTGAAAGTGAAGATCAAACTAGTTGCTGAAAATACTACAGAAAGACTGAGCAGACCAGGAGGGAAGAAACAGGATTTCTCATTAAGGGGCCAGCAGTATCCCCCCAGGTATCTATGCAGACAGTTGGTTAAGAGAAAGCAAAGCTCTTTATATCGCACATCTCAGCTGGTGGGTATATTTGTAACGCAGCATTATAAAAAGTTGGCATCGGCCCCATATGTTGCACGTGACTAGCAGAGTTTATTCAAATTAGCTAGTACTGAACTATGTAAGTACAAAAACATACAAAACAGAAGACAAAGTCAGGCCTAAGCAGCTCCTTTTGTCATTTATGGAGTTTCTCAAAATATCTATTCTATCTCATCCCCATGGCAAGCAATGAAACTGAAATTACAAGAATACTTAACTGTAATGCTGAAGGTTTCAGGATAGTTCTAGACACATACCAGCTTTAAAAACATTTTCACTTCCACTCCATAGCTCGTTTAAAATTCCCATTTACAGATTTCCATTTACAGCATCAATCTTTGGATATGGAAAGGACGACTGGAAGTCATTAGCCATTTGGCACTTAATAGTTAATGTTTTGCAACTATAATCAATCTCATTCAGAACACAGTATGCGTTTGGACTGCTAAATTTTGGCTTTCTCCATGCAAGTAAAAAAACAAAATAAAACGAAGACAAGAAAAACGTACCTAAACATTCTTGGCTACAACGATGATAGCACCATGAAAATAGAGGATAACTACTGAACTGATTTTGCAAGTACAATAGCATAAATTCAAAGCCTTTCTGCATTACCTGATAGGAGGCTGTCACTTTGTGATGTATCTCCCGCTCTTCATTGTCTTCATTATTCATATCTCATGTGCCCATGTGTGTCAAACAACCTGCTACCCCTTAAAAAGAATGATATTTCTTATTAGGAGCAAAGAGTAGAAGTAGAGTAAAAGCGAGAGGTTACCTAATTTTATCTTGTACCTATGCTACAATTCTACATTATAATGAAGTTATGCCAGAAAAGACTAACGTGTGTTTTCTTTCATTATTAGACAGTCCTCCAGAGGTTGTTTTTTTTTTTTGGGGGGGGGGGGCGGAGGGGCACAGAGCACTAGTGTCAGACAAGGAAAAGGCTGCAGAGAATATTTAATAGAAGAAAGGAGAAACTAGAGATGTACTATATTGCTGAAGTAAACCTTGAAGAACCCTTCTTACAGGATTTCACGTATCTGTTCCTGCCACAGAACGAGAATGGATGCAAAGGTTATAGCAGACACTTCTGCCTGACTGCTCAGCAGCTCCGTGTGGGAGCCAGACTCCAGGAAAAATGTAGACGATCCATTAAGTTCCTCCCAAACCATTTTTGTTTCTCTATCACATCTATGTTTCTCTATCTAAAGAGTAAAACCTGACAACACAGAACGCTGTCTTCCCTGTCCTTCAACTGAACTTCTCTAGTGCCACCATATAGTCTTTCCTCCCTCACGCAATAAACCTGCCTAACACACACTGCATTTCACAAACAGGTAAACCTACTTTCAAAAAACTAGCAGTACTTTCACCTTAAAAATCTTCACTACATATATAAAACTTTCCCTTTTATCCCTAAGTTTACTAAACAGTTGTTACAATCCCTATCCAGCTTTCTCCTTCACATTAGCCCTTCTTACCTTCCTTCCCTGTCACCTACAGTTAATAATATCAGCCCCACAGTCAGATCATTCCTCACAGCACTTTGGAGAGCCTGTGCTAATTAATATTATTTCCATTAGTTCTTTGTATACCTCTTCTATCTGACCTTTCTTTCACTTTGGCTGCAAGCTTCTTGGGACAGGACCACTTTCAAGTATGTGCATACAATGCTGAACACAGTGGGATATTAGACCACGACTAGGCACTGCAATAATATAATAAATAATAAAAGCATTAATTACTTCATTTTATAGCAGATCATACAAGAACAACTTTGACTTGTTTCTTCTGTAAATGAGTTGTACCAGAATAGTTACAAGAACTACGCAGCTTTTAGCTTAAGTGAAAATTTCTGTCGCTTAATGCGACATAAAACCTTGCCTTCCCGATGATAGCTCAGAGAAGAGCAGAAAAAAGCACTCTTCATCCCTCTTATGCACGTTTTCAAGAGCTTTGCTTCCCAAGATAAAACATACAAGGTCTGCAGACATGCTCACAGCCCTGCACAAAATTGCACTGCCATGACCTCGTTTGATCACATTTCTAACCTTGTTTTTTGCATAGATGATCAGTCGTTAGTTCACCTTTTTTTTTTTTTTCAATTTCTGCATGATTTTCACTTAAAAACCCACACATTTTTTATTAGCTGATGCAAATTAGAATTACACTGACTTCACAGACTACAGACAAGGTAACAGATATTTCCCTTTTTTTTTTTTTTCAATTTCTGCATGATTTTCACTTAAAAACCCACACATTTTTTATTAGCTGATGCAAATTAGAATTACACTGACTTCACAGACTACAGACAAGGTAACAGATTGCTCCACTAAAAAAGTAACAAGCTTTTTTTCCCCCCAAAGGAAAATTAGCTGCATATGGCAAGAGTAAGATCTGCAACTTTAATAAAAAGAAGTTATATTTTTAGTGAAAATAAAGTCACTTACTGAAAGACTTGACAAAGTTTGCTCAAGATACTAATAATGTACTAGAAGTAGCACACCAACTAAAAAAAATAAGACAAACATCTTCATTATCTATTGATAAAGTCTCATGTTGTCAAAGAGATCTGAGACTTTTCTACATCAATGTGTTACTTCATTAAACAAGTCACTGCAAATATTATGTGGAAAATTAATTTTGACACATCTACGTTTTTACTTTAAAGACGGTTCAAGGTTGCCACTAAAAGCAAGACCTTATAATAGAGTAGTTTGTTCATTCAGTTGGCCCGACAGACCTCAAGCCTGGGCCATAAGGTTACACATTCAAGAGCAGAATAAGGACCTTATCTTACTGATGTCAACCTAATGCTATACAACAATAAAAGCGTACCATTACATAGGACATTTAATAGCTAGCATAGACCCAATCAACGTAGATCCTAATTGTCTCCAGTTGAAATGAAGTATCGTAAGACACTGGGGGAGGGAAGAAGGGCGGGGGAAAGCCCTGCGGACTAAGGATAATCACATTAGTGTCTGTTATCCCTGCAGCCCACTTCTCTCACCCAATTGAAAACTGTAGCAAGCAGAAAGTGTTCTCACTCAAATGGCATTTTAAAAATGGTCAGTATGTGTTCAACAAGAAGTCCAAATGCAACTATCATCTTCATGTGTTGCTTAGCTTCCTATTTCTGAAGCTGTTCAGACAGAGTAAGGCAGCACATCACGTTGGTATTTGTGTTCTCATATTGCAATAAAAAAAATTTGCAAATAACACATAAAATAGCAAAATTTCAGAGCCTTATAACTCTGAATGCACTTTCCGGTTGATGCTCAACACTACATCCCAGACAGACATCAAGCAAAGTATGCCTTATCTACCCACGTGGCTGAAATGAAGATTACCAAGTAACACCTGTGTACCGCTGGGTCTGAAAGCAATGAGTTAACAGTACCTGAATCCCCCAAAACATCACAGAGGAACTTGTACTGCAAGGGAAACAAACCATCACTAAGAAGTCTAAAAGATACACACACACTTCTCATGACAGCACCATCTTATAACTTGGACAAAGTTAACTTAAAATAAGTATAACCTAAAAGCACTACATCAACTGCAGTTGTTGATGGCACTGTATGATGCTGTCCCATGTTGTTCTATACTAATAAGAAGCTTCTCTTACATTCTGCAGGTAGCTGCAGCTCAAGTCTAGAGGTATCACTTTATGAACTATTATCCGTTTCACAGAGATGTTCTGAGGTCTGATTTTTGGGCCCGATGCAGAATAAGTGAAAATCCACAGCTCAAATAACTTTAGGTCTGCAAACCTGAGAACAACAGACGAGATCTTGCCTTCAGAAAGCACTAGTAATGCATCAGCTGTTAACCGTTCTCAAAAGTCTCACCCATACACTAACAACCTTAACTGCAAGCAGAGCCCAAGCGAAAGAAATACTATAAATCTTTCCAAATCAAGGACCTCAGTGTAGCGCTAAAGTCAGCCCTTACGGATCTTTTTCAATAAAGAACGTTGCATCAGGTTTGCATAGCTACAACTAGCCTTCCTCAAAGTCTATACCGACAAACCGCACACAGAGCTTGCGGTCTGCAGCATGCTTTGAGATCCTCATGTACCAAGCATAAAACCACGTCTCTTCTAAGTTATAGTGGCGCTGTTGTTAAGTCTCAAAGAACGACACAGTATAAGTAAGATAAAAAACTTGCCTTAAAAGTAAGCAACAATGCAGAGCAAGTGCTAGTATACAAGATTTATCCAGTTTAACGTGACTTGCTACCACCAAAGCATCCAAACGCCAACACTTCATTGAATAACAGACGCAGAAAAAATGGCCAGTTCAAACCTCATTAAAGCAATCACTTCAGTTCTAATATTCATAACACAGCTGATGAACAAATGAGCACCATTTATAAAGCTCATTTCATTCAACAGTCTCCAGAAGACTTAAATTTGCTCTGTATATTTTTTTTTAAATACTGTGTAAGAGTCTGAGAGGACAAAATTCATTAGATGACTTCAGCGGATAAAGCAACAGTTTTGCTCTCTGATAGTATCATTCTGTAAGCAAATTCTGGAACAACGGAAAACAGACTCTCAGTACATTTTCTTTAAGGGTTCAGAATTCACTGTAAGAAAAAAAAAGAAAACAACAAAATGAGCATATAGCCTAAAGATAAAAGCAAAGTCTGGATGTGCAACTTTATCTAAGGGGATAGCTATACTTACAACGTGCTGCATTTCCTCCAGAGAGGAAGAGCAGGCCTTCAGCACATCATTTACCTTTGTTCCCCGTTTTAACCATGCATACATGTCTGCCAGAAGCTAGTTCTCCAGTTCCTGTAAACTCAGTTTCAGTTTCTGCTTCTGGATCAAACTTCACTGCATTGGCATTTCACATTAAGGAGCTTCACAAAATCAAGTGAACAGTTGCATTTCATTCCGTGAATAAATTCTAAACATCCAAGGATTTATCAGCACCAGAGGTGTCCTGTTTGAGTAGCTACAGTAATGCAAGCTTCTATGGTTAGATGCACAGGATGGGTTGTAAGGAGAGCTATAATAAACCAGCTTCACATGAAATAGGGGTGACGTAACTGCATTGAAAAGTTTGCACTAACGTACATTCATCTTGCCTATTATATCGTTACCAAAAATCTCTCCTGCAATTACACTGGACACGTTCACACGCTCCAGTCTTACACATGTGTTTTTATAATAAGCTATCAAAATAACCGGAATATTTCATCACTGTATCTTTAAAATGCCTCTCCAAGCTTGTGGCTTGCGTTACCAGGAAATGTCCTACTTAATCTTTGAAGTTTAACAGCTACTCTTCGCCATACCCTGAAGATACCTATATTAGAGAAATGATCCATCCTTGACCAAGGTTGTTGACAACAGGTACTGCTCTTTCCCCTGCAACTAATGCTAAAAAAATAATTTACCGTAGACAATGAATAACATTATGCTACAGTCAATGACATCTCTGAAAACATGACAAAGACAAATAGGATGTATACTGAGGATATATTTGCCAAAGTAACACAGGCTCATCTACATTTGAAATGGATTTAAATGGGTTCAGTACAGACTTTACATGAAAAGAATGAGCAGAAACTCCATTACTCGGAGCGTACTAAGAGCAGGACGCAGAAATAGGCTGATAGACATCTTGAGTGAATCTTCTTACCACATAGAACATGCAATTTGCCCTATGAACTCTTCTTCCCCTGAAACTCAACCCTTCTCATTTTAGCAGTAGCATTCCATTTTTGATATCATGTTTCATATTTTAAAGTATCTAACAGTATTATCTTCTTCTGTGATGTCAACACAAAAAGCTGGCACTTGTAAGCCAACACCCACCCAACTAAATGAGTGTCAATTTTTGCAGCTGAGTTACAACACAACGCAAAGAGCCCCTGATACATGCAAAAGTTAGATATACCTGAACCAACATAATGCAATTACCGTGGCCTACCCCAATAATGATTTTAGGCTCAGAGCAGTTACTAGAAGTCATGTGTCATACCATAAACCAGTGAAAAGGCTATAAGAAAAGACCCTTTTAACTACCCAGAGTAAAGTAATTTTAAATGACATTCCTGAAATGAGGAACCACAAAAAAACATTATGCAGCAAATCATAAAGAAAATAACGTCTGTAGATTAAATTTAGAAAATGAACAGAACAAGAGAGAGGAACAGAACTTCAGCTGGCCTTTAAAGCTTTTGAACTTTTAAAGCACAAAAGCAAGTAGTTTTAAGAGAGGAAAGAAATCTAATGCTACCTATTCAAATCTATCAAAAACATTCACAACAAGAGGCCCCAAAGCCAACCAAACCACATGTCTAGGATGATTTTGGAGAGTCTACATGAATTATCACCTTTTTTTTATTTTTTTGAGTGCTGCTTTCTCTCTTCTGTCTTATTTTGTTCTTCAGAGATGCAATTTTTAATTCTTCTTTAAGGCAGCTTAAATCTAAAGAAAAAAAAAGAAAAAGAAAAAAAAAGGAGCACTAAACCATGTAATGACATAAGACAGAGAAATGGAGAGTAAAAATAGTTAATACCAAAGCAATAACGGGTTGGAACAGGAAAATTCTTCAAAATTTAGGAAGGAAAGGGTTATTTACCCAAACCGGGACCTCAATTTGAAAAGAGGAGCGCTCTCTCAGGACACCCAAGAGTTGGAAGGCCCACAACAGCAGGACTGCTAGCCCTGTCAAGCCCAAGTCTCAAGGGAATTGGAGTAAAAGGTAAGCGTTAGAGAATGGGACAGGAAGTAACCCGCAAAGCAGAGCTGCTGGGAAATCCAGTCGCTCCCTTGCAGTTAGTAACTGCCTCAGGACCCGTCCAGCGCACGGAGAGAGCTGGGCGAGCC